TCATTCAAAGTCAAAGTAAAAAAAAAAAAAAAAAAAAAAAAAAAAAAAAAAAAACTGAACTCAACTTTGCCAAGTCTATCTGACCATCAGCAAACCACAATACTTGTCTGTACTGCAAAGATTTGATACACAATTGGAGGTTCCTGAGATTTTTGACTGCATAAGTTTGCATTCAGTAAGACCAGAGCAGAAAGAAAATGAATCATAACATCAACAACACTGCAAGTGTAAGTGGACATTTTGTGCCAACTCCATTTCGTGTGTCAACTCCTTTATTCTCAGCAGTTGGGTTGCAGAAGGATACAGTGTGATGCTGCAGAAGGACGCTGCCTAGGCTTCGGTATTGAAAACACCAGGCTCCTAAGGCGTCACAGCACTTCCTTCAAGTGACGCTGTAATCATGGGCTAACTCTCCAGGCTTCATTCAGATTGTCTCTTTCTCTGTAAAATGGAGAAAATAGTTTCCGTATCTTTGGGTTGTTGGTAAATTAAGGCAGCACTCAAACCTTCGGCAATTAGTAGACATCTAAGAAATGTTAGTTTCTTCGCATCCTGCACATGATGTGAACTTTTCTGAATTGCCACTGATTTTGAAGGCTGTGCTGACAGTGATAGTCAGAGATATTATCTACTGCATGACCCGCAACACATGGAGCTATGCCACTTCAGGCAAGAGGCATCCTTCCATACCACCTTCTCAGGAGAACCTCAAAGGAGCTGCCACAATTTCTCCTATTTGATAATGAAATCATAATGTAATATTTTTTGTTTTTGGAACTCAGTCCAAATCCAACCTTTTCCATTTTTAAGCCATACTATTGGTTCTTATTAGCATGACAGCTTCAAGTTTTAGTGATTCTCATATATTCTAGTCACCTTGTTCTCTGCTTTTCTTTCTCTTTGCATCTTCATTATTATTTGAGAGGTAGACACACACACACACACACACACAGACTGAGAGGAGCAGACATACAGCTAGAGAGCTTCAGTCCACTGGTTCACTCCCCAAATGTCCCTTGCTGGAGCTGGGCTGGGGCTAGAGCAAAGAGCCAGAGACAAAGTCCAGGTCTTCCATTTTGGTGGCAGGGATGCAGTTACTTGAAGTGTTTGTGTTAATAGGGAGCTGGAATCAGGAGCCAGAGTCATGACTTGAACTCAGGTACTTCAACATGGAATGTGAGCATATTAACTTGTGGGCCCTAAGCTCACCCTGCTTGCTTGTCTTTAAGTCACCTTACATCTCGTTTTTGAAACTAGGTCAACTTTGAATTAATGAAGTGAAAAGGCTGAAAGTACAGATATGTTCTCTAGCATCTCCAAATCCTACATCAAAATTAATTTTATCTTGGACTATACTTTTGGGTGCATCTCTGTATTGTCCATGCTCAACAAGAGTTCAAAGAACACCCTTGGGAAAAAATGGATATTTTAATGAAGCCATCCTTTCTTCAGAATTTTAGAAACTTTTTCTTCACTGTTTTCTTCATATGATTCACATGATGCTAGTTATTGACTTGCTGTCAAGTAGTGTCCCAACTGTCCAGACAGTAAGCCTTTTAACCAGATACATATGTGTTTTGTGTGTATATATACATGTAATTACAGTTATTCAAGGTGCTGTGTATATTCTTTTTCCAGTTTTTTCTTTCAGTTCCTCTGCAGTTGCTTTTTCCCTGTTGTTTTCCAGTTAGAACTTAAATACAACTTTGTGAAAAATTTCTTATTCAGTTCCTTTAAGATGGTTTCTGAAGACAGAAAGAAAACCTAGCAATGGCATTGTGAATAGATGAATGCATACAGTAAGTACTCAATAAATTGGTTTGTGTTTGTTTAAGTTATGTCCCACAGGTAGGCACGTGCTCTTGGAAAAGCTGCTGAAGGTAAGGAGAGATAAAGCCATTGGAGCCCTGCCACTTCCATCTTCAGGATTTTTTTTTACTCGATGTTTATGAATAAAACATTTTAATCATAACTACATCAACACTGATAAGATTTTTTTCTTGGAATTTTAACACAGGGTGAATTCCATAAGTCAATTACATACTTCATTCCAGTTTTGAAACAGTGCAAAAAAAGCTAAATTATGCTTTTTCTTTTTAAAAATTTGATTGAAATTCTTTTCACCAATGCTAGTTAGTCCTCATATAATTTATAACGAAAATTCTAGTCATATTTTCTACACACAGCAAATTGTACACATTTTTCATTGTGAATTTTTTTCTGTCAATTGTTTGCACCAAGTTTATAGTTTTCAATTGGGTGAATCAGTTTCACCAGTTGGTAATTAATTTGACAGAGGATCAATTTTAATTTCTTGACTGATAGCCAAGAAATTCCTCAGCAAGTCCACTTCAGGGTTTTGATCTGTCTTATTTGTCCAGGGTTGGTCTCTGTGAATGTGGCTAAGCAGATGTTCATACCTGCAGTGCTTAGAATGACTGTGAAAGTCTTGCCCTCTTTGTGTTGTAGTAGGCAAATAGCAAATGACAGATCAGGATGTCCTGGGTTTTTCACACATTTTCTATTTCTAAAGAATTTTATATTATAACCCAGTCCATGTTTATTTATGCGTATTTATATATGTGCCTGTGTGTGTTATAGATATGTCTGTATATATGTGAAACAAGGTTTTATGAAACATTGTTCTTAACTACTGTCTTTGTCTTGATGGTGTTTTATTTTTATTTTATTTTATTTTATTTTTTTACAGGCAGAGTGGACAGTGAGAGAGAGAGAGAGACAGAGAGAAAGCTCTTCCTTTGCCGCTGGTTCACCCTCCAATGGCCGCCGCGGCTGGCGCGCTGCGGCCAGCACATCGCGCTGATCCAAAGCCAGGAGCCAGGTGCTTTTCCTGGTCTCCCATGTGGGTGCAGGGCCCAAGGACTTGGGCCATCCTCCACTGCACTCCCGGGCCATAGCAGAGAGCTGGCCTGGAAGAGGGTATTTTATTTTTTAAAAAATAATTAGTTATTTGAAAGAGTTACAGAGAGAGAAGAGGAGAGGAGAGGAAGAGAGGAGAGGAAGAGAGGAGAAGAGAGGAGAGACAGAACTTCCATCTTCTGGTTTACTCTCCGAATGGCTGCAACAGCTAGGGCTGAGCCAGACCAAAGCCAGGAACCAGGAGCTTCTTCCAGATCTCCCACATGGGTGTAGGGGCCTAAGTACTTGGGCCATCTTCTGGGGCTTTCCCATGTGCATTAGCAGGGAGCTGGTCCAGAAGCAGAGCAGTCAGGACTGGAATCGTCGCCCATATGGAGTACTGGCACTGCAAATGCAGCTTAATCTTCTGCGCCACAGCACCAACCCCTGAATTTGATATTTTAAAGTGCTGGTTGTGATCCAGTGTCAATACCCACTACTCATTTCACTGCCTACTTTACCATAATCTTTCATTTGAAAATTACTGTTCTGGAGCTATTTAGTCTGCTCTCATTTGATAAATGTTCTTTGAGTGCCTCATATGTCAGGTGCTGACTTAATGGGTAGCAAATGAGAAAATTAGCAAAGTATTATCAATGTTGAATGGGCACCTACCTTCAAAAGGATAGAAATGTCAAGAATGTTAGGGTGAGTTGAGATGAGTACCAGTGGGAGATGATACTTCTATCTTGGGGCTAGACATAAGAGTATTCAGATAAGGTCTTACAATGGAGCCAACCAACATTGCTACTGAGTCTTTTTAGAATTTAGGGATCAGTGCTGTGTTGTTGTAGGTTAAGCATCCACCTGTGGCACTAACATCCCCATTTGGGAACCAGTGTGAGTCCTAGCTGCTCTACTTCCAATCCGGCTCCCTGCCAACTCACCTGGGAAAGCAACAAAAGGTTGCCCAAGTACTTGGGTCCCTGCACTCATGTGGGAGACTTGGAAGAAGCTCCTGACTGCTGGCCACCTTGGGTCATTGGGGCTGTTTAGGGAGTGGACCAGCAACTGGAAGATCTCTCTCTATCTTTCTGCCTTTCAAATAATAAATATTTTTAAAAGAATTGATTATATAGACACAAAAAAGAGGGAATTTTCATTATTTTTTGCATCAAAAAAAGGCTGAAACTTGGACTAGAGATAAATTTAGGGGATGTTAAAACACTAAATACTTTTAAAAACTTGAAAAACTATAGTAATCATTATAGAAAAAATTTCCAATTTTTAATCACGACAGAATCAGTATAATAGCAAAGTTTTAAGTAATGAGCATAGGTTAAAGTGATATGTGCTGTGAGAAGGTGAAGGTCTAAAATGGCTTAAGGACAGTGCTAAGAACTTGGTATTCTGGAGTCTTCTATTGAAATTAGTGCTGGTGACAATAATGGCAGTGATGATGAAATTAAAATTATTAACATTTATTGAGAAGTTGCTGTGTGCTAGGACCTACATTGTGCACCATATCTTTTCCTCTCGTTTGTTGGAGAGTGGTATTCCATGCCTTCCCAAGACCACATAACTGAAACTTAAGCCTATGGCAATGGACTAAGGTGGCCAAGGTCTAAATCCCTACACTCACAGCTTCTGTTGGTTCCAGGTTGTGCCTGGGTTTCAGAGGGTGATTTTATGGAAACAAGAAAGTGAGTTGGGAAGAAGTGATTAGAGACCGGTGGAGAGATTGGAGAGTTGACAATTTAGAAATGTTGTGAGTTTGTACAAAGATTGTATAAGGAGCCATGATATCCATGATGTTGTAGAAGTAGCATTAGAAACAAACTTTTGATGTGTGAATTGAGCCTGCGAGAGAAAAGGGGAGCAATACACATGAGATACATGAAGTTGTGGTTGGATTTGTTGATTAGTGCACATATGCATATATGTATAAACAAGTAAAAGAAAGTATCTTATATTTAAACTTTAATGCTTAACAGTATGTTTTACTGTCTCTTTTCCTTCTTCCCAATGAAACCTTTTATTTGATGAGTACAAATTTCATAAGTACAACTTTAGGAATATAGTGATTCTTCGCACCATACCCGCCCTCCCACCCCCCTTCCCACCCCCACTCCCACCCTACCTCTTCCTCTCCCATTCCCAGTCCTATTCTCTATTAAGATTAATTTTCAATTAACTTTATACACAGGAGACCAACTCTGTACTGAGTAAGGATTTCAACAATTTGTACACACACACAAACTGAGAACAGGTTTTGTGGTTAATTCTCATAATAGAACTCATTGAGGACAGAAGTCCTGCATGAGAAGTGCACAGTGACTCCTGTTTTTAATTTAACAATTAACATTCATATGTGTGTATGACATGAGCTGCCAAAAGCTGTGGAAGCCTTTTGAGTCCACAATCTGCATCAGTATTTAGACAAAGCCATAAACAAAGTGGAAGTTCTCTCCTCCCTTCAAGGAAAGTTCATCCTTTGATGGCCACTTCTTTCCACTGGGGTCTCAGTCACAGAGATCCTTCCTGTATGACATTTTTTTTTTTTTTACCACAGTGTCTTGGCTGTCCGTGCCTGAAATGCTCTCATGGGCTTTTCAGCCAGACCAGAATGCCTTAAGGGCTGATTCTGAGGTCAGAGTGTTATTTAAAGCCATTGTCATTCTATGAGTCTGCTGTGTGGACTGCTTCCCATGTTGGAACATTTTTTCCTTTTTAATTGTATTGTTGTTACCAGTTACTTGATCTTATTTATATGATCCCTTTAACACTTAATCCTATCTGTATGATCACTTTAACACTTAATATCATTTTAACACACTTAAGATGACATTTTTATCACCCAGCCTAATGGGATTTGGGGTTCCATGCAAGTTTTTAAATTTACTCTTAGAAGTAAGTCCGTAGAAATGTATGCAGAACTATACAGCTTTACAGTTATAAACTTACTCCTCCTTCTCTTTTTTTTTTTTCACTGAGATACAAATAGTATGAAGAGAAAAGAAAACTGTTGCTCAACAGTCAAGTCATTGCTTCTCAGTGTGTCAATTTAATTTCTACAGATTTCCTTTTAGGTGCTCTATTGGTCATCAGAGATCAGGGAGAACATACGGTGTTTGTCCTTTGGGGACTGGCTTATTTCACTAAGTGTGATGTTTTCCAGATTGATCCATTTTGTTGCAAATGACTGGATTTCATTTTTTTTTTTTACAGTTGTGTTGTATTCCATAGAGTACATATGCCATAATTTCTTCAGTCTTCAGTTGACGGGCATTTAGGTTGATTGCATGTTTTGGTTTTCTTAGCAAACTTACCCATGAATATGGTCCTGCAGTTATTCCCTCTATACTTAAGTTCTACGTTGCCTTCTCTGACACCTCCAACCTGACTTTTCCTGCTCACAAACATCCCTTACAGCCTCCAAGCAGCTCAGCAAACTGAGCAGAAGACAGATACTCTTTCCCTGGTCTCCAAACCTGCCAGCTTCTGTGGAGAGTCCCCAGGGCACATCCCCTTTCTTCAGGACACTCGGGGAGCAAAGCAGGGAGTGTGGGGGAGAAAAAGTCCTCGGCATGTGGGACCCACTGGCGGCAGATGCAGAGGCACAGAAGCAGTGGGTGGCAGCCCCGGGGTGTGTGCTCACAAACTGCCTAGGATTACGCTTGCAGAACAAGATGGAGGGTGAATGTGGGAGAAGGAACAGCACGACCTCAGAGGGCTGGCTCTGATCAGTGAAGAAACTTCCTCGGTTCCCAGCTCAGAGCAGCATGGGTCTTCCTGTCTCTTTTAAGCAGAGGATTAAATTCTTGCCTTAACAGTATCTGATAGACTAGTAAGGTACACTGTTTTAACATGAAGAATTGTTCCTTAGATATGCTGTTTACTTCTCTAAATAAGGAGTACATTTGTGAGTCTGTAAAACATCTTGATGAGTCTTTTCACTGATGACTCTTAGCTAATGCTGAAAGTCAGGTTTTAAGAAGAAAATATGTAGAATATTTACACATGTCACTTTCATAATGTATATAAAAATTAGCATGCTCATTTATTATTTAAATAGTTGTGGCCTTTTTAGTGAATACCAGTGTTAACAAACCATGTTAACATGATTTAAAATATGTAATGAAATTTGCAGTGCCATCTGATGACGGAACGATCAAGTTAGTGCACGTGGCGTTGAGTGATCACTCTCCTGAAGAGTTACTTGTATTGTTTGCGCAGGGAGAGTGCACATCTGCTCGTGGGCTGGCTGCATTTCTACAAGCACTCCGTGCAGTGGTGCTCCTGGAATGATGGTTGATTTGATGTTGAAGTGTCATACGATACATGCCCATCCTACAGTTTTCCTCTGCGCACTTCAGGGCGCTGGCATGTGTTCAGACTGACGGATAACATTCTCCCTGATTGTGCGTGTGCCTGCAGCCTTTGTGGTTTGCTTCGTTACTGTTGTCCTCGTTACTAAACGTTTCTGGAGCTCTCCCTTGGATCTCGGATAACAGCTCTTCCAGATCAGGATCATCTAGGGACCATGGAAGCTCCCCTGCAAATGCGCTGTTTCATGACTTCAAATTCAGATTGACTACTAGTTCTTTGGAAATCATGACTGGTTAATGACAGTCCTTTGGCTACAGAGCTGCACTAAGTAACTGATCATTGGTGAATTTGACATTTGTCTTGAGCAAGTGAAAGTGAGTTCCATCACAGTTGCCTGAATAAGGGCTTGGTCTCTGTTTCTACCAGGTCCTTACCTTGCTGTTCAGATCTTCACATCTTCTCACATAAATAAAATTTCACTTCTATTCTCCAAAACAAAACAACAAAATTGCTGGTATGGGATGCACAACTTCTTTTCCTTGATTTTTTAACAAATGTATTTACTTATTTATTTGAGTGTCACAGTGACAGGGGGAGAGAATCTTTCAACCAGTGGTTCACTTCCATAATGGCAGCAATGCCCAGGGCTGGGCCAGGCCAAAGCCAGGAGCCCAGAGCCCCATCAAAATCTTTCACATGCTGCAGAGGCCCAAGTATGTGGGCCATCTCCCACTCCTTTCCCAGGCACATTAGCAGGGAGCCGGATTGGAAATCAAGCAGCTGGGACATGGCCTGGCTCTCCTATGGGATGCTGGCACTGCAGACAGTGGCTTAACCCACTGTATAACAGCACTGGGCCCAGTTTTTTTTTTTTTTTTCCTACATTCTCTAACTTTATTCCCAAATGCCAAGCTACTTTTGGGAGATCTTAATTAATAGCCATTCTTGTAAGATTAGGCCGTGACAACACACATGGGGACCACCTGGGGGCATGATCATTTCTTAGCCTGAACAACACTGTTCACTGTACTTAGGAAAATCCCTGATTCTCCCTGCTAGAGCTTACATCCCCTTGTTTCTAGACAAGAAAATGAACTCCCCCAGAGGTGAAGATACATAGCTTGGTCTCTCTGAAATTGGCCTGTTGACTGTGTTTTAGTATCTATTCTACCGTCTCCTATACCCTGCCAATTAATTGTTTCATTGGTATAGCATTATCTTTCTCAAGCATTTATTTATTCTCGTCACATATTTATAGTGTAAGTGGTCCTTTTAAGTCACTCTGCAGCCCATGAAAAGTAAACAGTATAAATTAACTGATTTTTGGCACTAGTACTGGGTGAGACAATCTGATCTTAAAAACTCGTGTGTATTTATATATGTATATATTCTCAGGATTATGTTAAGTGTAATCTCATTCATGTACCAGTGACTGCCAATAGGTGGCGCCATGTTTCATCTATGTGTGGGTTGGGGTTGAGATTAGTTTGTAGAAGACAGGTGGGGGAGGGAAAGGCCAGAGGATGATTAGTACATTCTTGTTGGGCCTGGGGAGGAAGGAAAAAAAATAACCTTCATCTCCAACAATTTCCATTCCCCCTGTCACCTCGGCATTTAATTTACTTCACTTACACAACTCCTTGAAGTTTTCCCAGGTTGGTTGCTCCTATTAATTATAACCTAGAGGGATTTTATTAGTAAACTAATGGATTACAGTATCTAATGTAGGCCGGCAGATGAGTTTGGAAGAACTGATCCACTTGTGCCTTGTGGGGTAAAACGAACTAAGGCTTCTTTTAGCCTTCTTTGATGGCTAGTTTGTTGTAACCTTACCGTCTAAGGCAAGGTCTCCAGTTAGTATAAGACGGAACCCCTGAATGTTCAAGACTGTTTCAAGTCCACATTGTAAGAGTGATGCAGTATCCCTTGTCCCCTGCCATGAGTCTCTTCCAATTTCTTGTTTTATTTTTTTTTGTTATTTATTTATTTGAAAGTCAGTCACACACAGAGAGAAATCTTCCATCTGCTTGTTTACTCCCCATATGGCCTCAGTGGCCAACGCTGGGCCAGGAAAAAGCCAGGAACCAGAAGTTTCTTCCAGGTCTCCCACATGGGTGGCAAAGACCCAAGTACTTGGACCATCTTCTGCTTTCCCCATGCCATTAATGGGGAGCTAGATCAGAAGTGGAGCAGCCAGGACACTAACTGACACCCTTATGGAATGCCGGTGTTGCAGGTAGCGGTTTTACTTGCTATGCCACAGGCTAGACCCTATTTAATGTTTTAATCGATATGACATCTTCATTTTGAATGAACGCATTTTTCTTTGATAACTATGGAAGGGCTTGAAACATAAAAACTTTATATTGTTATTCATATATCATAGCACATCCAAGTACCCTAATCAGTTACATTAAAATGTATGTAAAACTTAAAGGCTTAATGGCAATAATAAAGGGAGGAAAAAAAATCTGAATATTTATTTTACCTAACTTATTGAAAAATAATTCGAGAAATACTGAAGTAGAATTTAATACGGTCTCATGCATCCTGAAGGGAGTGGTGTCTAGTTTGGAGGGGTAATGGCTACTTCTAAATAATCTCTCACTTGGAACTTTTGTGACTTCCTGCCATTAACGGTGCTACCAATCTCCTTAACTTGGTACCCGGGTGTTTTCATATTCATAAAAACAATCGCAAAACTGAAGTGTGTGCCCTCCTTCTAGCTTCTAGGTAGGCTTCCTTGGCCAAACTAGTCGGGTCATTCAAGGTTGCATTCATCCAAATGGAGATCTGCAGCTTGCCGTCCAAGTGGCAGCTGTGACTGGTGGTGAAGACTGGAAGCTGCATGGACATGTCTCCTCTCCTTTTAAATGTCCTACCAGGGAGTGCACAATTCTCCTGCCATCTTCCTCCTGCAGCCTACCACATACTCACCCTGGCACTGTTTAAAAAATGGAACCAGTGGACAATCCGTTTCTCCTGAATGAAAAGGGCTGCAGTGGTTTGTGATTTTTGTCTTCATGAGAAGAGGCTTCCTACTCTTTTCCCCCTTGTCTGCCTTCACTGTATCTTTCTCATTGTCCCCAACAGTTGAGGTTATGTGTGGTGGCTGCCATTTCACTCATTTACTTGATTGTCCCTCATTTTTCATCAACTCTATCTGCATGTTTGTGACATGGTATCAGCTGTGGGCTATCAGTGGGTGTTCATGGAGCACAGCTTATTTTCTGCATTTGTGTGTGCTGTTTCAAAAGATGACTGGTGCTTGCCAATGAATATTCTTGGGAATTGTCTTCTAGGTTAAGTGTAGTTAACTATTTACCAGGAACACCAGTGACACATTTGCTTGAAGGCCTGTTACATGTTGGGAACAAAAAGTAGCAAGACTTGATTTAAATTCTTATAAGTAATAGAATCATGAATGATTCACTCTCAAGTTCACTGGTCTGTGATGAGGCTCCTCTTAACTGATGGCAGAACGTCCCAGAGCCATCTTTGATGAGCTTACCTGTATTTTGCCTTATTTGTTAACTAACCCAAAATGTAGTTGTATGGTTGGTTTGTGCCTAAGGAGACTTTCAGTGTTCAGGTCCAGAGGTTACATTGCTTTTGAAAATCTTCTCTTAGTTTTAGAAATTTCTCACTATCCAGAATAAAACTCCATAGCTATTTTACTTTGACTCTGGGATAATACTGAGATCCTTCTGTGGTATGTGTTGGGGATGGGTGTGAGTGATGTCTGCATTCTCAGTACACTTACTACACAGTTGAGGAAATATAAGAAAGCCAGAGAAAAATATTGTGTGAGACTGAGATTCACCTAATTGTTTCTCTTTATATAAATCCAAAGTAATTTTCTTGGTGGAAAATATCAAATGTTCTCTTTGGTGCTCTCTTTTTTCTCTGAATCAGTCAAGTGTGGTTGTAGCCTTACCTTGCCCTTCTGGCTTGCCGGACTCCAGGCTCAGCAGAGTTAAACTTAGGGACCGCCATGTTTCTCCAGAGGCCATAAAACCAGTTCCACACACTGGCTCCATCTGTGGGTGCTGGAGGATTTTGCTGATGGCTTGAAAATCAGGGATACTGCATTATCATTAGCATGTTCTAGTACATACTTTTGTACATAGAATTAAATGACAGCATTTTCAGCAGGAATTAAACTGTGTCCATTATATCCCTGGAAATTATTTCGCCCTCTTGCCTTTGGTCTCTGCTGGGCCCTAGCAGGCTCTTGGTAAATTTTTGTGTAAGTTCTTTTGTACTTTTCACACAGAGAGCTGGGATGAAGATGGGGATCTCTTTATAGAAAGCAGAAATGGAAATAGTTACCACACAGGTGCGGTGACAGTCAGTAACCAAAGGAAGTGAAAGATGTCCTGTGAATTCTAAAGTTAACTTTTGAGGGCTCCTGTTTGTCTTGAAGAAGCTGACTTAGGATGAAAGCAGAGTCATGAATAGCATTTTCATGTGCTTCAATAGGTTCTGGGTAATCGGCTTGTAAACGTGCCGCTAAATGCACACCATTAGCTTATAATATGTCTCATTCATTTCCATATGAAGATCAACTGACAGTATGAGGTAGATTGAGTCATTCACAGAGAGTCCACGTGGTTTTCCATTGCAATTGTATTGAAAACAGCAACTAGATTTCAGAATGGTCCAGTTCAGTGTTCGTGTTTGAGTATTCTGGGGCTTTCAGAGTTACGTGAGTAGCACAGGACAATAGGAAAGAAGGATTTGTTGAGCTCCAAGTGATGAGCCAGAAAGTTTTTTATGTGATTTTATTTAACTTCCTGCAGGAAACTCAATAGTTGAGTTTGAATGACTATGCCTGTTTCACAGATCAGCACAGCAAGGCTCTGAGCTACTTTACTAGGTCACCCAGTGGAGGAGCTGAGCATCAGACTCAAACGTTTGTACCCTGCCATCACACCTTACTGGTTCTCAAGGCACATCCTCCCAGTGCCTGCCCAGGCTTCCATGGGCTCCACCCTTGCTCCGGCACCGAGGATGCAATAGTGGGAGGTGCATTATGGGCCGAGTGTGATCCTGCAACTGAAGGAGAGCCTGCTTCTCTGGGATTTGGCAGCCCCTGTGGTCAGGAGTAGGAAGGGGACGCACATGAGAATGGGGTGTGTGACTTGAAGCTTACAAGGAAAGAAGGCTGGGGCAGTGTGAAGGGCCTGGCGTTTCTGATGCTGCTGATCACAGTGGACAGCTTGGGCCTCATCTTCTCCTTAGTTACTTTCGAATTCATTGTGCATCCTTCCCTGTCCTCTTCTATGCCCTTTTCTCTTTGTTCCTCCCCAAATACTTGTGCTCAGGCATCTCTAACTGCAACATAAAACAGACATCCGCACAGACTGGCTGTCCCACAGTTGCCATCTTGTTTTATATGACATAGGCTGGAACAACTCAGATTTGGAGTCTCTTAGAGAGAAAATGGTGTGTCCTATGGTAAATGTGGCTAGTGACCCTATAAATATATATGCTGAGTTACTCTCAAGCATTAAGTTTTTGTTTCTTCACTTTCTGCTGGGATATTCTGTTTTCCTTTACCACCTCCTCTTCTGATGTAGGAACCTTTTGTCCCTTTTCTTTTTTATTTTTTATTTTCTTTTTTATTTTTGACAGGCAGAGTGGACAGTGAGAGAGAGAGAGACAGAGAGAAAGGTCTTCCTTTTGCCGTTGGTTCACCCTCCAATGGCCGCCGCGGCCAGCACGCTGCGGCTGGCACACTGCACTGAACCGAAGCCAGGAGCCAGGTGCTTCTCCTGGTCTCCCATGGGGTGCAGGGCCCAAGCACTTGGGCCATCTTCCACTGCACTCCTGGGCCATAGCAGAGGGCTGGCCTGGAAGAGGGGCAACCAGGACAGAATCCAGCTCCCTGACCGGGACTAGAACCCGGTGTGCCGGCGCCGCAAGGCAGAGGATTAGCCTAGTGAGCCGCGGCGCTGGCCCTTTTGTCCCTTTTCAATGAGGATCACCTTGGTGTGGCCTGGAACATCATGTAAGGGTTAATCTGACCATGAGCTCTGTAGGTCTGGCAGGGCATCTTGGGTATGTTCAATGACCTGAGAATCTGCATCTAAACCTTTAAGGTCATTATTGCTTGGCAATTTTTAAGCACTTGCAACAGTCATTCATCTCTCTTTTGACGTCATCAAACCTGTGTCCAGCTGCAGTATTTGGCCTTGGCCCAGTTACTGACTCTACTATTGTAATGACAGAAAGGGACACATTACTTTTTTATTGTAAACTCTTTGAGTTACTTGGTGGCTTTTTTTTTTTTTTTTTTTTTGACAGGCAGAGTTAGAGAGAGAGAGACAGAGAGAAAGGTCTTCCTTCTGTTGGTTCACTCCCCTAATGGCCACTACGGCTGGCATGCTGTGCAGATCTGAAGCCAGGAGCCAGGCGCTTCCTCCTGGTCTCCCATGTGGGTGCAGGGCCCAAGCACTTGGGCCATCCTCCACTGCCTTCCCGGGCCACAACAGAGAGCCAGACTGGAAGAGGGGCAACCGGGACAGAATCCGGTGCCCCGACCGGGACTAGAACCCGGGGTGCCGGCATCGCAGGCAGAGGACTGCCAGGTGAGCTGCAGTGCTGGCCTTGGTGGCTTTTCTTAGATGGGTATCCTTGATGACCTAGGTGTCTTCAGTGTTCTCAACCTCTTCATTTGCAGGATTTTGTGGATTTTCTGGGTCAGGTGAATAATGAGCCATTTTGACAGATCACCTAAGATTGCTAAAGTAAGAAGGGGTACTCTTTGACATTGCTTGTAGTACGAACCAGTCCAGGTGGCTTACCAAGGATTAGACCTCCAGGGTGGAGCGATTCTTAAGTACTTTAGATGACTTTAAATATTAAGTGTGTGCTGTATTTGAGTTTAGTTTTTACTTTATTATGTAAAGAAACGTGACTTGCCTCCTGCTGTGAGTCTGGAAGAAGTGTCCTTGAAGAATAAGTTCGAAGAAATAGGGCCCTCAGATATCAACAGGAATGAAGTTGGTGCTTACCCCATTTGCTAAGCTGTTGTCACAGATAAAACTCAAACTGCTGCCCTAGTTTCAGATGCTAGCAATGAGCATCGGCACAGTCTTGGTGGTTGCAAACTTTCCAACCTTTGCCATATTGCATACATGAACTCTTGGTGCTGATAAAGGTACAGAGTACCACATTGGATTTTTTTTTAATCTGATGAAAATGACATCTGTATTGCTATCTTATTATCCAGGGATGCTGACTTTACCTTCCACAAATACTTGTTTTAAATCAGAAACCCTCCATGCTGAATTCTGGTTTCTCCTGGGTGCCCTGTATTTGACCTAGGTCCCCATAGCATTCTCAGTCACCATCCTGTGCTCAAAGGTTGTCATTCATCCGGCCATCCAAACCAAGAGCCAATTAGGAAGAACAGAGGAGGGAGAGGGAGGGGAGAGAGAGAGAAGAGGAGGTTGTATATTTGGAGGGGGCAGAGAATTCTGGATACAAAGACCCATCAAGACAAGCCAGTATTTGTAGAGGCCTCCAGATCTTGTTTTATGAGAGAAGAAATAAAGACGAGCCAAACGGGTCCCTTTGCGAGGATCTGCACGTGGGTATATCTCAGCCTGAGCCAGGCGAGGCAGCCAGGAGCAGCTGTTATTTCAGTGCAAAGTTCTTTTCAAAAGCACAGCCATTCAGAGTCCAAAAGCCCTCACAGGTCATGCCTGACTACCTTCACTGTGCCCCATGTAAAAATACACTGCGAGGAGATTGGACATGCCCTATGAATTATACCTTATTTATTATCATTGAGCCCTCCTTTTTCCGTCATGCTTTAGAATTATGGGCTGGAGCAGTTTTTAATACTCTATTTATTTTAGGGGAGGAAAATGTTTTTCTTTAACCACAACATTCATGCAGTACCAACTGCTGGCAGCTTCCCCAGCATTTAAGGAAATATTGTTGTAAGACTTTTATGTTCTGTACTTCAATCAGCCAGAGCCAGCAGTATCCCAATAGAAGGACCCTCAACAGACCATTTTCAGCATTTTGCTACAATTAAACTCCTCTGGTTTTAGCCCTCAGGCAATTTAGTACCTTTTTACATATGCACATTATGAACTTTTGACCAGGGTCTAGCAGTCATATATTAGAGTGCTGCTCTTGAAAGCAGGCTTAACAAGTTCCTCTGAGTATTGCAGTTGGAGTCAGTTGTGGAAAAGGTAATTTAAGCAACTTGCAGCGAGGCCATTCAGAATCTCAGCGATGATCCTAAATATCTCTCTCTTCTCTCTCTCTCTTTCTCTCTTGCCTGCTTCCCCCCCCCCCTTTTCTTTTCTTCCTTGTTTCCTCTGGAAGCTGGTAGCAAGAGCTTTCAAAGTCTGTGATTGATCTTTTATTCAGTAGCTAACGAGGGCTGTGATTCTATTAGCGTGCTACAAGGCAAGAGAACAGTGATTTAATGAAGTGTCTGGTGCGCCGGCCATAGATTTATCCTGTTGTCGCTAATTTGCAGTGCCGTTGCGAGCATAAAGGAAACTGCACTCACACTGCTATTAACAGGTATTTCCTTAGTAAATTGTTGTAAGGTCAGGTACAGTTATCTGAGCAAAAGCAATGCCTTACCTCTTCAGTGTCTGCAGATGACAGCCGCCGTGCAGAGTGCTCAGTGAAGTGGAACCGGGAGATCAGAGGTCCGCCTCCAAGTCGCCCTTAGCGCAGGCTGGAGCAGATGAACTGCCAAGTAGGAGTAATAGAGTCATAATTGGTGATTAGAACTGGAAAGGTGCAATAACATCTTAATACAAACTGGCGTATGTTATAGTTACTGTCAGTTGCTGTAAACTTGCCCTGCCGCCTGGACTAGTTAGGCTTCCCTTGATTAGCTCCCAGAAACCAGGCAGCGGGCACTGGGACAGCAACCCTGACAGCATGCAACTCACATAGCTTCCTGGGGTCTTGTGCTGTCCCGGTTGCTTTTCAAAGGTATTCCCGCAGGCCCCCTTTGGAATGCACCGCCATCGCCTTTTCCCACTGCCCCGGGAGCACATAGATTTCATAAGTGTCCTCTGAACTCCTCTGTTGCCAGGCACGGTGACATTTATGCGTGCTGGCTTTGAGGCTCATTGAACTTTTGTTTTATTTGCCTTTGCTAAGAGGAGGTATTTGCTTCGTGTCAAATGCATATCCCACTGCAGTTCCATGTTCACGGTAACAGATTTGGTCTTGCCGTGCCAGAAAGAAAACATGAAACAAAATAAACACCCAGCGCTGAGGAATTGTGCATTTGAGACTGGTGTGTTTCAGAATGCATGGGGACCTCTGTGGTGCAAGGCACATGTTTGAGCTGCTCTCACGGGGTTGTGTAGGTGGTCTGCTTCCATGTTAAAGGCAATGGAAGACATTTTTACATGATGTTTAATGAGATACCTGGCTGGCTAAAAGAAAAACCCTTGAAAACTAAGGCATCCAACTGCAGATTTCTACAGGCTTGTGACATTTCCATGCTTCACATGCACAGCATAATGCTTCTTTAAATTCATCCGAGAAGAAGATACCGAGCATTGTCCAGGCATGTGGAGCCACTGCCACTGTTGATAAATACATGACTGGTCACGTGTATTGTTTTGAGTAGGATAAGGCTTGTCAGGATGCCAGAGGGAGAAAAATGACATGAGATAATGAGATAATGTGCATGAATGCTTCTTATTTATCCAACTCGTAGTAGGTTCTCAATAAATGCATTGTAATTCTCTAGCTGTGAGATCTATTGACAGAAGCTCTGTTGTCAGGTTTCACCCTGAACTGTTAAAACTTGGGGTAATTGTCCTGCTTATGTCACCCCAGGTCTGATGTGTGTTAGGTGAATTAAGTAAAGGTTTAAAGGATTGTTTTATAGTGGGGCCCTGTTGGCAAGTGATCACTGGATGATTAACAAGGGTGAGTGAAACTCCGCAGCTTTGCAGTACAGATCATTGGACCTTGGGATGGTCAGTATGCAAGATGGTACAGTATTCAGGTCTACTGCTCTCTCAGGAAGGGGCTCTCTATCCAGTGGGATGGAAATGGTAAGTTGCAGGAGGTGGGATGAGAACCTCAGACCTACAGGCCATGACCTGCAGATTAAATGAAGCTGATCAGAGCACACCTGCAGCAGTATATGCAGGTTATGGCTTGGGAAGTTCCCTGGCTGTCCTCTCACCCAGCAATGTCATGTAAGCAGTGCTGAGATATGGGCTTATTGCTTAGTGTTTTGGCCAAGATTCAGACGATCTGGCATTCCTAGTCCTAAACAGGGTGGAAGGGAAGGCTGGAGAGAAGGAAGTATGGAGATGGGGGAATGAGAAAAGCAAAACAAAGAGATGGAGAGGGAAAGAGGAGAGAGATGAGGAGAAAGAGGTGGAATAGACAAAGAGGAAAGGAGAAAAAGAGAGTAAGGGCAAGGAGGGGAGAGAGAGAGACAGAGAGAGAGACAGAGAGAAGGGGGGGGCAGCCGAGGCCTAACTGAAAGCCCACAGTCACTATTTCTGGTAGCACACTTGAGCACTGAGTAACTGCAAGGGGTGACAGTGACGTGTAAGTAGAATTCATTGCACACTTGCTCTGTGCCGACTATCATTTAATCTTACTTCCAGTCCTTCCTGGTATCCCCATTTTCTACTTGATAAAGCCATGGTTTAGAGGTCAAGTCAGAAGCAGATCAGGATTTGAACCCAGATGCGTCTGTACTTGGTCTTTGCAGATACAGAAGCGCTGCCTCATTTCCCAAGCACACTCACCCTCCAGTTCTCCCTGGGGAGCCCTCACTTGTGAGGGTCCCCATGTAGTCTGCTTGTTGCAGAAATGGGTGATGTATCTCTGTTCTGATAATAGACTGTTGGACTCTCGAGAAACATCGGAGACAGGAGAGAGAATTATAAAAGTGGAATCATAAAAATGCTCACTTTGAAATCTGGTGTATGATGCGGACTGGAACCTGCACTGCTTCAGACTCACAAGCTATGTTCCATTCCAACAGTAGCCAGAGGGAGGATTTGTTCAAGGACTGTCTGCTTTACTCCATGACCCCAAGCTCACTGGTGGCAGTCCTGTCCCTGAATAGCATGGCATTTAGCTCATGACCCACATGGACCCATTCTTCTTTAATGTGACATGCTTTTCAGGGCTGTGTTTGTGGCTCCGACCTGCCCATCTCGGTTAGATCCTAAGTCCCGCAGGAGAATGTTCCTTGCTGTGCAGATTCCTGTGCTTCCTCCTATTGGCTCTGGCAAGTGATGCTCATTGTAAGGTGTCCGGTGCACAACAAATCTTCCCAGGCAGATGAATCAATTAATTCACAGGCTTTTATTGGGGTTCCACTCCCAGGTGAGGTTCCCCAGTCCCAACAGAGCAACAGAGCGGGGGGCCGGGGAAGTCGGGCGTCAGAGATTGGGAGAGCTCCTTTTATAGATTCAGGGCATGGGGGTTAAAAGTTGAGGCAGGTCTGATCCTCATTGGTTGACCTTTAGGCACCCGCAGGGACCTTGACAAGGACTTTCTTCCCCGGAAGTAGGCCTCTCCATTCCCGTAAGTGTAGGCCTTCCCTCCTTGCGGATCCCAAAGCTACCATCCCGACCTTTTGATGATAGGAAAGGGGGCAACCATGAGTCTCTCTGGCTACTTCCTGCTGACTGGGGAAGTTGTCTACAGGGACCCGTTGGGGGTATTGCGGCTCTGCAGGGACAGGCATGTATTGGAGAAGCATCTGGTTGACTGCCTGGTTGCTGAAGGCCTTGGTTCATTCCATTATCACCTGCTGTAAACACTTAAACAGACACTGTAGTATACAAGTCAGGGTGAGAATAGCAACCAATGATCCTAAGAGTGGCATTAACCAGGTAATGAGAGGATTTCATAGAGGAAAGGAAATGAGGGGGTCTCTGGACCCTTGTGAGGATGGTTTGATGGATGTGGTTTAAATCTGATCCCAGCTGAGACCAGGAGAAAGGCGTATTCCCCGGCTCTGTTGCTCTGTTGGGACCGGGGAACCTTGCCCGGGAGCGGAACCCCAACAAAAGCCTGTGAATTAATTGATTCGTCTGCCTGGGAAGATCTGTTATGCACCGGACACCTTACACTCATCATCAGAGGTTACCACAGGCATACATTGGATTTATCTTTTTAAAAATCTTCTACTTTTCATGGATTCTTTTTTCTTTCTTAAATAACTAAGGTCATATATTATATGACTTCATTTATAGATGTTTAGAATAGGTCAGTCTGTAGAGGCAGAGTGCAGATGGGTGGTTGCCAGAGCCTGTAGGGGGAGGGAAATTGGGAGTGACTCTTAGTGAGTTTGAGGTTTCCTTTGGGGATGATGAAAATGTTTTGGAACTTGATAGAGGTAATGGTTGCACAACACTGAATATACGAAGTGTCATGGAATTGTACATTTTAAAATGGTGTGTTTTGTGTTAAGTGAATATTAATTACAATGAAAGCAGCAGCAGCAGCTAACACATAGGAGGAGCTGTTTTGATTGTTGGTGTCAGTAACGCTCTTGTCTTTTGTGGTTGGTTTCTTCCATCTTTGCTAAGGTATCCTGCCAGTATGGCGTGGGCTGCAAATGACTGGGTCAAGTGGCATGCCCAGATTAGCAGATCTCAGGGAGGGAAGCCAATCCCTGCCCTGTGTGGTGTCATGCACAGAGCCGCAGAACCACGTGCTTGCCTTATCATCTCTTGACCATGCTATTGATTAGTTATGTGTTTGCCTGTGTTATTAATAATGTATACCTGGAAAAATCTATGTGCATTATAGTCTTTGATCTTGTCATGAATTTCAAAGCCAAAGATTCCATTTTTCTTTTTTTTTTTTTTTAATTTTCAAAGAGGTAGCCTGGAAATAATTTAAAAACTTTTCTCTCCTCTAGTGGACGACTTCCTACTGACCTCCATCCATGTTAATGAGATGTGCATGTGTGTGATGTGTATACAGATGTATATATATATACACATGTATGTGCGCACATACATATATAAATGTATATGTGTACATTTGAACATATTTCAAAAAGCTCATGGAAAATGATATTAAAAGATATTACAAACTTCCTGTTTACTTTTTGAAGCCTCTACACACACATACACAGATGTACTATATATACACACACAGGCATATCTTAAGGAGAGACTTATAAAATGCATTCAGTCCAAGCTTACTGTATTATAGCAATGAGGAATATTTGAATACAAGACTTAGTCATCTCTTAGATTAAAACAGAAATTAAAGACTTTAGACCAAGGATGGATCAAAGACTCTCTTTTCATTGTTCTTTTATTGTTTATTGACTTCAAAAAGTCTTTTTAGTTTAAACCGACTTTAATGTCTCTCGAATGCTCTTTTGTAAAATGACTTTGAAAACTCAGGGATAATGTCTTCATTAAGTGGAGAAAAATCTTGGGAAAAAATATAACTGTAGCTTGGCTTTCATTAGAGTAGAAAGAGATAAAGCTTTGGTTAATTAATGTCTGTTTCCCCTCTGTTCAGAATTATAAGGGAAAAGGGGGTTGAAATTAGTGCTGATAAAAGCTTGAAATAGAGATTATGAAACTGAAACTTTTTTCTGTCCTTCTTTGAATTTAGAACATACTCCTTGGAACTCTGTCAACAGTACTGCAGTACTGTAGGTGCTCTGCCTTCCTGGATATAGCATGGCTCCCAACCCAGTGATGCAAGTCATCCTGGCATCTTCCCACCCTTTTGCTTCATTTTGCTTGTTGTTTGTGTCTAACATTTGTATCAAAATTGGACAATGCTTGGAAATTCCAGTGAAAACGCAGAACTGTCTGCCGTTTGCTAAGTTGGCATTGGAAACTCAGCCTCTTTCAGAGACTCTGTCCCACCTGCCCCCAGGAGATGTCCCTGGCCTCTGGGTGCTCAGGAATTCCTTTTGCACTGGGTCTTCTGTGGCTTCTTAAGCGTCTTAGTTTCCTTTCGATTTTCTAGACAGTGCATCTGCTCCATAAGCTTCAGGATGCTGTTCTGTGAGGGAACTTAAAAAGGTCTATGCAAAATGGAATTCAAAGACAAGTTTATTTTGATGCAAAAATATT